GCCCGCGCCCCTCCCCCAGCCCGGCCCGGCCCGCCGCGGAGGCCCCGTGGCTGTCCCCGCAAAGGAAAGGGGGGCCCTTTCTCCCCCGCCAGCCCGCTCCGTCCTGGCCGTTTGTTCCCTGCCTCGCCCCCTCAGTCTGCTGTGTTTAAATAAGTAAATAGATCTGCACGGACATAATAATAGAGCTTGTTTCGTCTTTGGCATTTTCTACAGGACCCCAAGAGATGGACCTTCCTCTCCCCTTCCTCCCTCTAGAACTGTTACCCCTCGTCTCTGTCTATACAGGCCCAATTATCTAGATCCTTGGGGTTCCCATAGGTTCTGAGTCACTGGAACCGGGAACACCTGGCCGAAACACGCCAGAGAATTCGATTTTATCTTTTTTCTTTCTTTCTTTCTGTTTTTGTTTTTTTGTTTTGGGTTTAGGTTTTTCCCTCCGTGAGAGAGCGGGAATTAGCCTCCTGGACTGGGGCAGAGCAGCTGGATGGGGAAAGGAAAACCTTCACCCAGCGGTTCGGGTTTCAGCCCCTCGGAGACATCTCCAGGCTCCCCAGAGCCGGGACTCCCTTCCTTTCCTCGGCCTCTCGGCCTCCTCCTCCTACGATCGTTTTTTTCCTCCCCCACTGCCTTCTCTTCGCTTTAAGTTCAGCGACTCCACTTGCCTCTCCTCTCCTTTCTCTCAGGAAGCAGAAACCAGACGGCCCAGCGGCCACGGGCCGAGCCGCCCCAGCACAACCCCGGCCTGCCGCCGGCGGGGCCTCCCCTCGCCCGCCTCCCTGAAAAGGCGCGGGCCTCCGGACCCAGCTCTCCTGCCCTTCGCCGTTCCGCAGGCGTGCAGCCGCTAGGCCTGGGGCATCGGAAGGAACGACCGGGGCTGGGGACGAGTGTCCTCGTCTTCCCCCAGACCCCCCGGCTTGCGCCACAAAGTTCGGAGGGTGGGTACACCCCGACCCAGGCAACTTGCTCCCCCAAACCCACGGCTGACTAATCTGATATGACAACAGCCCGTGATGGATTTGGTATATGTTAATTCACAATGCCCTTTCCTACAGAATTTAACTATAAGTTAATACACACCGGAAACCACGCGCATACATGCTCGTTAATGGGCTTAGGTATTAGCGAGTCCTAACGATGCATACAAATGTGCTCTGTGCTCTGTAGGCCCCTCAAGATTTATGGGCCTTGAGCTCTCTGAAGCTGTAAACAAGGAGGGGGAAAAAAAGAGAAAGCGAGAGAGGCTGGGGGAAAGAGACAGAGGCCTGACTCGCCCCTCCAGGTTGTGGGAGAGAAGGGATCCTTACATATTTTCCTTTCCTTGCGAGCTCGGTGCGTGTGGGTTTTAGCATCGGTCTGGGGTGGTGTTCTGCTCCAGTGCTTGTGTGTGGGCAGTGTGTTGTTTGTGTACTGGGGTAGGAAGATGCCTGCCCCCTTTGAGTTGCTGCTCAGGCTCCTGGAATTCGTGGGCATATATGCGTAAGTGTGTGCACCATGTTAGGTGTGTGTGGGGTGTGTGTGCGCACACGTGCGACAGGCAGGCCTCCCTCTGGGCCAGGCTGCTGTCCCCTTAACCCAGCGAACAAATCTCTAACAACAATCATAATAACAATAAATAACAAATAATAACAATGGAAACAGTAGTTAACAGTCCCTCCCTAGCAGGATAACCATAAAATGCAAGAGGAGGTATTTTGAGGGGACAGAGGAAGGACTCATGATTACAGCATCTGAGGGGAAGACAAGAAAGGAAGGAAGTTAGCTTCTTCATATGCCTTTGGGGGGCTGGGGTTGGGAACCCCCTCCCTAGACAAGGTCTGGCCAGTGGAGAGGAGGGAGAGCCAGGAGGAGGCCATTCTTTCCTGATTCTTTTTCTCGGGCTTTTGCTTTGTGCGATCAGGGAAGGAATCCCACATATGGGGGTGGTTAGTGGCTTTTGGGACTCTCTGGGAGCCCCTGTTTTAAAGAGGAGGCCAAACGTGCAGGATCAGGCCAAGGGGCAGAGATAGACGAGGCGGTGATCACAGCCTCCATCCGGGCAGGCCAGGCTGCAGAGGTGCCCGGGAGGACGAGCCGCGCGCGGGGCCGGCGGGAGCGGGAAAACGTCTATGGCCGCCCCGCCCCGGGAGTCGGGAGAGCGAGGCCGGGGCGCCGGTAGGCCTAGGGAAAGTTCTCTTCCTAGGATCTTTAAAAAAGAAGGGAGGGGTTCAGGGGCCTTGGATTTTCTTTCGCGAGCTTGGAGCCGAGGCGATTTCCGTAAAGGAAGAGAAGACCATGGTCCTGGATCCTGAAACGTCCACCTCATTCTCTCCAGGTACAGTTTTCTGATCATTTTGTTAATTTATTTATTTGAGGGAGGTGGGAGTCAGAGGTGAAGAGATACGAAGTTGGGGAGAGGAAGCCACCTCACAGTCTCGGATCTAACGAAATCCCTCCTTTAAAAACAATTGTAGCAGCAATAACAACAACGACAAAAAGAAAATCAAAGAGGAAATATAAAAACTCAAATCAGCCAACTTTATAAAAGAGAAAAACGAAAAGAAACTGGCCATAACAGATGAGCGTGAGAACTTCTAAAAGATTTGTCACAAACATTTTCAGTTATTTGGATTCTTTTTCAAAAGCGATGACCCATTTGGTCTGAAAAGAGCCGTGGAAATACACTATCCACTTTCTTTAAAACCAACACACACATCAGAGATTCGAAAGAGAGCCCTGGGCATCCTCGTGTTCGAGAACAACACGGGGCGGAGGACACTGTGATAATCCGGGACAGAATAGCAATAAAATAAAACACAGGTCGAAACGCTGAGCGCAGGGCGAGGAGGACCCAGGTCCGGTGTGGCGGCAGCCGCCGACCAGGCAGCTGCCTCTGGCGATGGCCGCCAGACCGCCCAGGCACGGCTGGCGACCCGCTCGGCCTCGGCCTCCCCAGCCGGGCTGCTGCCCCCTTCCCCCAGCCTCCGCACCTCTCAGGTTCTCTCAGCTCCGATGCCCGCTCCGGCTTCCCTGGTCAGAGGGGTTTGGGCCCGAGAGGAGGCAAAGTGACTCAAGCCAGACTCTGCTTTTTCATTTTTCTCCCTTAGGCCTCTCCACTTGCCCAAGCTCTCAGCTACCAGGAGACTGACGCAAGGGGCTTCTGGGCTGCGTTGGGAGCTGACACTGCCCCCCACCCGCTCCCGCTTGGTTTCCCAAAGTTCCGACCTCCAGCCCTCCTTGGGGGAAAATACCAGTACCCAGACACCTCAGCACCCTGTCATATGAGATCGGGCTCTCTTCAGAAATTTCTTACAAAGAAGAAGAAAGGGTGGTTGGAGCCGCGTTTACATCTAGTCCAACTGATCGGTTCATATCTGGAGAGTTTATTTATAACTCCCTCAATAACTCTCTCTGTTTGGAGGCACTGGTGGCTCTATTGACAGACTGATGTCTAGAAAATATTGCTCTATCTCTAACCACACCTAAATGTGCTGTGGTTGTATTTACAGATTTATGCTTGAGGAAAATACAATTATTTGCATTGTATTTGTGCATACACAATAGTTAAAAGAGCAGATTTATATATGGGGAAATATACGACTCTCTTATAGCCATCCAGCTTTATGGACATTTGATATTCTGACAGATTTATATCTCTGAACAGCTATATAGATAAATGTATATCATTAGAATTATGTATCAGGAGATATATACTTATTGATTGTGATATAGAGTAGTTAGAGCATTCACTTAGAGCCATATATGGCTATGGAGATATTTCTATATTATTATCACTATATATAGGCATATCTATTTATAACTACATAGTTATAAAAATAGACATATGTAATTATAGTCCCATATGTACATGCTGCTATCTCTCCCTAGAGTGATAGACACTTTCAAATGTAACTATATAGAGATATCCGTATGTATATAAGGTATAATTATCTCGTGATGTGTGTGCCTTGGGACTTAGGCCAGTCTGTCTCTGTACAGACATATTTGTATGGGCTGGGGAAGATTTGTTCACAGAGATGTCTGCAGAGGGCCAACTGAAAAACTCTATCTGGCCATCCAGGAAACCAGCTAGCAGGGTTCTTTACTTATGGAGGGATGGAGTTACAAAAGAGTAAACAGAACATAGGAAGCCTCAAAGAGGGGAGGCAAATGTAATGTGATAGGGGCCCAACAGGAAAAGCAGACCAGGAGGAAAAAGGTAAATGCCCGGCACCACCAGAAGGTGAGAACTGGTTTCATGAGGGTCTGGTGCAGATGAGTACGGATGAGAGACTTATAGAAGAGGAGGCAGGAGCAGTCACCCCACCCAGAGACACTCTCCACTAAGGAAGCGGACCTTCAGCTCAGCTTCTAGTGCACTAAAGGTTAACAATGTCTTGCGCCTCAAGCATTTCTATCGCATTTCTCTTGAACCTTTTTTGTTGCCCAAATTGGGTTTCCCTCTCCTCTTGGTACAGAGGGGCACTACCAGCTCCCTAACAGCCCTGCCCTGGGCCTTTACAGGGAGAAAATGATTTTAATGAGCAGGGAACATGGACCTAGTCCCCTAGACCTCGCTTCTCCCGTTCATATCTACCCGGCTCCCGCCAGCCTCCTTCCTGGCGCTGCTGGGCTAAGGCTCCACATTTCTTCTCCTGCCATCAACCATCCTAGGGAAAAAAGACATACCACCCCCCTCCCAGTTCATTTTTTTCCCAGGGAGTCACAGATATCTTTGTTGAATGGTTTGTGCGAAGTTTTCCCAAACTCAGTCTTAGCAGCCAGCCCGGCCCCCAAGATCTCTAGGATGCTGGGAAGGGAGTGGAAACCCCTGGGCTGCGGTTAAATGCCATGTGTCACCCTCCACATGCCCCTGCCCACAGAAGTAGGAGCCCCTTTAGGGCAGGAACTCTGTCTGTTGCCTGGCACAGAGTGATTGCCCAATACATACTTGTCGAGGTAAACAGAATGGCAATCCATCTGAAAGCTCACCCTTGCTCTGCATACCACCCTGGCCACCACCAGCCAGCAGGCTAGAGGCACCCTAGCCAGGCTGAAGGATAACATGGCCCTGGCAGCAGCACAGTCTCTGGCCCAGTCAGTAGTTAGTAGGGTGGGAGAACAGCCAGACGGTGAGAGAGGAGTCTGAGGTACCCGGTGCTAGGAAATTGGACGGGGGTGGGGGGCACAAGGCAGGCCATGCCTCCTCAGTGCACCTCTGCTACCCCTCACTAGTCTCTTGGTTCCCTAGACCCCCAAATGTACGAAAACTAAACCAGAGTTGAGACCTGGGCTGTGAAAAAACTGCCTGTTGGCCTGAGGGTCCCAAAGACGAACTTGGTCCATTAAAAAAATACTCAAATAAAATAAAAATAAATCAGCACCAGACAGACAGCCTGGTGGAAGGAAAGGCCTCTTTCTATGCCTCAGGCCTGCTCCAGGGGTATCCAACAGATCAGGTTTAATGTTTAAAATTTTTATTTTAATAGTTTTTTAATTAAAAAAATTTTTAATTTTAAAAAGCTCATAAATTTTCTAATCCAGTAATGCACCTAATCAGACTGTTGCATGTATTTATTTTTTTAGTGTCACCATTTTCCCCTCTTTAGTCCCTGTAGACCTTCTGGAGTTTGTGGCCACGAAGGTCATTATCACTGAATGGGATGAGATGGGCAGGTTTGGAATTTGAGAGGAGTTGGCCTTCACTCCCATCAAAGCTAAGAGCAGGGAGGACCCTCCCAAATTTGGTTTCTTTTTTCCTGGGGATGCTTAGAAGACATAGGACACCACCTTATGTCTAGGTGAGGGACTGAGATCTAGAGAGGGGACTAAATTAAACCTGGAATCCCATTTCCTAGTCCCTCAGCCTTTGACAGTTTCCTCCTCAGACACCCAGCCTCCCTCTCCCTCCCCGCCAATGCCTAATGCCCAGGGGGATGGTTGATGCTTTCCCTAAAGACCTGCAGGGAGGGAGAACTGAGGGTCCTGCATTTACATATGTTTTCCTAAGAAGGACTTGGGACAGGTGTCTGGACTCCAGCCAGGATGGGGGGCAGAGGGGAGGGGGACAGTCATTGTAAACATCAGAACCTGTGGGATTCTGATAACAATTGTCCTCAAGCAAAAGGCAGGAAACCAAGAGACACTGGCTACTATTATTGAGCCCAGAGAGTCCTGGGTTCTCTTACCTGGGCTGTAATGGCTCCTAGCTATTTCTGGGTCTCAGATCCCTTTGAGAAGGTGACAAAAACAATCAGCTCTCTCCCTAGCAAAATGCATATACACAAGTGTCCTTGACAGTTGCTGAGATTACATGGAGTCCTAGAAGCCTGTGATCTCTAAGTTGAGCATCTCTAATTTGTGTTTTTTTCCATTTCTTTTTGTGACCCATTCCCTCCCTGGTTGTCTGCCCTTCCTGAATCAGGAAATGGGGAATCAGGAAGCTCTTTCCTAAGTAGAACCCTTTGGCAAAGCCCTTTTCCTTCTTTTCTCTGCTACAGCAGGCACCTGGCAGAGGCCTTGTTTGCTTATGCCGAGCTCCCAATCAGCTTTCCTTCTGCAGAAACCAGGAGAGTGGCTGTTAACTGAAGCCTGGTCTATACTGTCCAATTACTGAACTAATTTCTGAGGGTGGGGGATACCTAGGGACATATTGGCAGCAGTAGAGGCCTGTCTGTAAGGGGACAAATTCCCATCTCTAGTGGAAACTTGGATGCAAGGAGCAAGTTGCAATTGCTATAATAATAGTCATAATAATAACAATAATAATTTATTTAGCATATCATTAGATGTGTATTTACTGTCTTCCCTCTGCTTTTTTACAAGTGTTTCCTAAGGAATTCTCACAACACCCAGGGGAAACAATAATAAGCTAATTACCACCCTTCAGTTCCTTCTCCTCCTCCCATCCACAAAGTCACCCTCTCAGAGACGGAGCTTTTATAGAACCCCTTCATGTGCTTTGTACCTGCTTAACACGTTCTCTCCCATTCCCAGTTCTCCTCTCCCATTCCCAGTTTTTCTGTCTTTGTTAAGGAAGTTTCACATGCTTCAGAGGAAAGGTTGGGGAGAGGAGTAGTTGAGGCCCAGAGAGACGCACTTTGTTGTGGTTGTTGTAGGTATTATTATTGTTTCCCTGATATCACAGCAAGATTTAGGATAATGAGGGAGGAAGCAAATTCTTCTCTGGCTGTTCTTTTTAGTGCAGAAACTACCTACACAAGGTTCAGGGCAGACGGGGTTAGAGAGGACTTGTGCTGTCATGATGCCAAAACATCGGAGTCAAGTATAGGAATGTGGCCAGTGACATCCACTCTGGTGGATTTCAGACTGTTCAAGGCAGACGTCAGAGATGCCAGATCCCACATATCTCATTAGCCTCCTTTGGCAATGGGAGGGAGGAAGGGAGGGAGGGAGGGAGGGAGGGAAGGATGGAAGGAAGGAAGGAAGGAAGGAAGGAAGGAAGGAAGGAAGGAAGGAAGGAAGGAAGGAAGGAAGGAAGGAAGGAAGGGAAGGAAGGAAAGGAGTATGTGTATGCTCGTACATACATATTCACATACATATTTTTTTCCTGAGTGGATAACCATGACAATAATTACACTTTTTAAAATATTCATTTCCTTGTACTTTGAAATATAAATTCATATCTCCTCAGAGATTACAATTAAAATGTGAAACAGACACGTAGTTTTGGATTCTGGAGTCTGAGTGGACTATTGGACCAAATAAAAGACCCTCTGGAGTCCCGGTAATCTGCAGAGCACACCTTTGGTTACTCATTTCTTTGACACCAGCTCAGAGCTGAGAACTGTAGCTTCTGTCATGATGGTCTTGATCAGAGACAGAGCTGCTCGGCCTCAGTTACTGAGAATCCTGGGCATTGCTCAGACCACCCAGACACTAGGATCGGTTCTCCACCTCTCTGCCCAAGTACGTAATTGCTCCTCGGATGAAGCAAGTCTGGGCTGGAAGGTACAAGATCCAGGTAGAATCAATATCTAGGCGAACTGGAAAAGTCAGAATTGAATCCACTTCTTAGCTCTCTAAATCACAGGTGGCATAGCTGACATTCTTGGTGGGTCCAATGTCCATTGTGCCTTTTCCTCTTTCCATAGTACTCATGTCTTT